GCTGGACTCGAACCGCTGAAGCGTCGACCATTTCTGGCCGGCAACTTTCAGCATCATTAAGCCGCTGCACCACCGCGTCCCCCAGATTTAAAATATGAAATATGAAATAATGGAGAGGAAAGGGATCTTCTTTGTTACCTTGCCTGCCCTGTGAAAAAGCATTCCCTCAGAGATTTAAATCATCCCAACCGTGTTGGACTTTTGCAAGGCGTTAAAGATCTGGATATTCCCATAGGTGTTTGGGCTGGGAAATAAGTGAACACAGCTTGGAAATACTGTAGCTGACTCTTCTTGATGTCAAAGAAAACGGAGTCAGACAGATAGCATGTTCATAGAATTCACTTTTCCTGTGTTTCTTCACATATTTGGAAAGAGATAATCAGATTCACTGGATAATTGTCATTTACTCTGCTTGGACAGGGCTGCCAAATTTATGACTGGAAAGCTACATTTATTATTCAAGGATGCTCTTTGCTGTAAGCCTGCATGAGCCTCACTAGATTTTTTCCAAGTGCCTGTGCAGGGTAAGCCTTGCAGTGGCAGTCTACGGTGTACTTGAATGAACTGTCGGCATGTTCTGTTGATGATTAGAAAGCACTTTTCCAAGTGGATGGTAGAGAGCGTCCACGTGGCTCCAAAAATGGTGTCCCCACTTCCGTCCCTTTCCATTTTGCTAGGGCGGTGTTTTTTCCCCAATGAGTCACTGATGATTCTCCACTGGATTTATTTAGTCTGGTAACTGCGGGTACAGTTAGGTGTGCTACATTTATTATTTAAAACTGAAATACAGTACAGGCATACCTCGTTTTATTGCGCTTTGCTTTATTGTGCTTCGCAGATACTGCATTTATCAAACAGCATCGCATGCTGCAGAGAAATCTTTCGTAAAAGGAAGAGTCAATCGATGCAGCAAACTTCATTGTTATTTTACTTTAAGAAATTTTTAAATTAAGGTATGTACATTGTTTTTTTAGACATAGTGCTGTTGCACGCTTAATAGACCTAATTATAGAGTAAACATAACTTTTATATGCATTGGGAAACCAAAACATTTGTGCAACTCGCTTTATTGAGATATTGACTTTATTGCAGTGGTCTGGAACCAAACCTGCAATATCTCCAAGGTGTGCCTGTTGTTCTTTAGCCATTTTTCTAGTGCTACTTTTCTGCCCTGTATTCAATAGGCAAGCTATTTAAAAGCATTATCAACCGATGCATCTATTAATAATCTGTTTTACATTTAACGTGATGACAGTACTTAAACCATTGTGATTTCCAGAGAGGGCAGAGGAATGGCCTCTGGGTGATACAAATCTCCTATCTGGGCAGAAAGGAAACGTCACTGCCTAAGGTCTCTTTGGAATGGTGGGGAAAATGCTCAGAGCCATTGCTAGTCTCTTTGCAATGTTCTGAATGTGAAGATCCTAAGAGCAGAGTAGAGGGGTACAAAAAGGAGATGGTAGTTCCTCATGTTGCCCAGACAGGATCTGAACTTGGGCTGAGCAAACTTTTGTTCATCACAAGCCACATTTGACTTGTATGGGGGAAGGGGAAATCCACAGTGAGTATGGCAAAGTTGCAAACAGACAGTGCTCTCTCACATGCATGGGAAGGGCCAAAATGTTCTAATTATTTTCCTCAAGGGTTTGGGAGGAGACTTTTTTTTCCTTTGCTTTGAAAATCTTGTTAAGTTCTTTGATCACATAAATGGCACCCTGAACTTCACTGCCTGGTATGACTGGAAGGAGAAGACAGAAGGCAGAGCACCAAGATTGCTTGTTGGGCTGGAGGCCTGCTGAGAAAACACACAGAAAATGGAAAGTGCTTTGCCAGGATGAGATGGGGCAGGGGGCAGGGAGGATCAGGATACATTGGCCCAGAATGCAGTTGTGCGAGTGGTGCCGTGTTACTCATGTGTTGAGATTGCTGCAGTAGTTTGGGGCTGGTTTCCATGCCCAATTCAAGGGGATTACTATGGTGCCTTAAGTCTTATATAGCTTAGGCTCAAACTATTCCCATACATTCAGCCCTGCTGCATATTCTTTGGCTCTCAATGAGACACCTCTTGCCATGGATCCATTTAACATTAATAATCTTCTTTTCAGTAGCAGAGTGTATATTATGGAATAATTAAGAGGTGAGTCTGATTATCCCTCCTTGTTACAGTTTAAGAGTGGACTAAAAATTGATTTAAATTTTGGAGAAATAGGATGACAGTCTTGCAGGGGAACAGCCATACTGTTGCTACTCTCACTTGGTGATCTGTGTACTGCTGGTTTTCTACTACCTGTAGAGGACAAAGAGTACATGCAAAAAAATCAGTAGCTGGAAGTCATGGGCACTAGATCTTGTCTCATAGTGGGTGTCCATGAAGAACTAACTGATAAAGAGCAGTAAAACCTGCCTCACACAATACACTAAGCCATAGTTTGTTTAAGCATGGCACAGTGAATAAGCCACAACGACACTAAGATAAAATCAAACTATGCGTAACAGTTTACTGCATCCTTCCCTGATTGTGTGTCTTCCAGATAAGCAAACGTCAAGTTCCAGAATTACAAGTAACGGCCAAGCTGGCCAGGAACCCTAGAGCTCAGCTTAAGCTTAAGTAGTGTCATGTCATTGCTATGCCCTGTTGGTGGGGTGGAGCTACAGTGGCTGAAGCAATACTTTCCCTGTCTCCTGTCGTAGCAATTTGCTCTGCTTATTGCAGCCAAATTTGCAATGAGCATGAAACTGAGCCAACTCAGAGAGGCAGTGAAGGACAGGAAGGCCTGGTGCAATATGGTTCATGGGGACACGAAGAGTCGGACACGACTTAACGACTGAACAACAACAACATTGCAGCCAAGCCATGATCTTGCAAGGTGAGGATGCTTGCATCTTTTTGGCCAGATGTGAATGAAATAACAAATCTTGCAGCGCTTTAAAGGCTGTTAAATTTCTTATGACGCAAGCTTTCATTGATTGTTGTTCATCAGATACATGTGTAGGGATTAATTCAAGCATCAGTCTGACTTGTAATACAATTGGAATCAAGGGTACATCTGAATATGTTAAAGATCAAGAATTTATTTCCACTTTCAAAACAAACTTTCTTACTTCTTTCACACCCAAAAATAACATCTAGTTATCCACCAACTCCAATTTGCTTTGGGTTCTTCTAGACAAGCTTTTAAACTCGGGAAATTACATCTTCCATAGAACATTAGAGTGTAAGTAGGTGCAGTATATGTACAACCAGACAATGACTTCTCTCTTTGCATTGTTGGGTTTTTCCCCCCCTCATCCCTTCTTTGCCTTTCATCTTTTCATGAACAATCTGTTAAGGAGGTCAGTGAAATAGGTGAATAGTGTTTTTGACTGATGGGACTAGGACCCAGCTATCTGGAAGCACCCATTGGCTGTGCAGGACAGGCTAGCAGTGTTTCTCAACCTCAGCAACTTTAAGATGCATGGACTTCAGCTCCCAGAATTTTCCCACACACCTCTGGCGGGGGGAACCTGGGGCCTGAGGCACCCCATTTCCAATCTGCTTGTTGTAGTGATAATGGGGACAGG